AAACTTCTTGACACCAGAAGTCTTTATCAGTTAGAGTATTGGCTACTATTCATTTTGTCCTGTATACACACTTCAAATGTACATTCAATTGTATTAATTAGTTCTTAATGATTTCTTGCTGTCAGATTTAAGTGTTACTTCCTACACTACCCCCGTACACTAGTGCTGTTAGGCTATAAAACACACAGAAATAATAAAAGCCTTGGACTGACAACAAAAACCATCTCTCTCTCTCTCTCTCTCTCTCTCTCTCTCTCTCTCTCTCTCTCTCTCTCTCTCTCTCTCTCTCTCTGTGTCTCTGTCTCTGTCTCTCTCTCTTTGTCTCTCTCTCTTTCTCTCCCTCTCTTTCTCTCCCTCTCTTCCTCTCTCCTCTCTCTCTCCTCTCTCTCTCTCTCTCTCTCTCTCTCTCCCTCTCCCTCTCCTTCTCTCTCTCTCCCTCTCCCTCCCTCTCTTTCAGACACTGAGCAGGAGCTGTGTAAATCCTCTGTATTTTGACCAAGTGGTTTTGTGGTTTTGATGGCTCGACTTACTGCTTTGATTCTGACTTTTACAGTGACAGCTGCATAAGTTAGACCAGCAGAGGTAGAGGTGAGGAATACTGGCTTTTTAACCCAATAGAAAATGGATATTCCATGTGAACAAATTTAGGAAATTTTGCATTCAGTTATTCTGAAAAAAATGACTGAATTTGACATTTTTCTCAGAATCTTTGCAAAGGTCATAATTCAACTAATCACACAAGACACAGCAAAATCATCAAGCAGTTATAAAATGTGTCTTATTTTTGTTTACTGCATTTAAAATGAATAGAAATGTGTACCTTTCATGAAAATATTTGGTTAACAAATTTTACTTAAGAATAATATTCTAGAGGGATGAACAATATATCAGTTCTGGTAGCAGTCAATATTGAGACAGATTCTTTGATGTCGAGATTGGTCGATATTGATATAATACTAATATAATATTGAATTTGTGCTTTCCCATTCTTTGTGTGTCCTTTTTAGATTAAAGCCAAGATTATAGTTCTGCCTCAGGCAATGCTCAGATGAGAGCTGATGTCCTGACGCAGACCTGAAATATACAAGTGTCTGTGGAGCTCAGGCCCAGGTGAGTCATGGGGATCCAAACGATTTAATTTGAATTAATATATATATTTTTTATTTACTGTGAAAATAATATAATAATAATAATAATAAGCTGTCACAGTAGGCTGTTATGCAGACATTTATGTGCCAACCCTGTTCTAAGCAGTTTTTAATCAGGTGTCCATATAGTCTTTGTGAATCAACAAATCACAGCCCTTGTGTTCAGGGTAAATTTAAGGCATAGTAAGTTTTTGCCCGAGGTGCACTGTGTGGTTTTGACATAAAACATAAACCGGTCTTAATGAGTAAAAATGGAAATAGAGGCGTTACTTGACTGTCTGTTCACACAAATGATTATATACTGAACACCTTTGATTATTATTTTTACAAAAGTGAAAAATTAATTTGTGAAATTTACTTTTGTTCAAAATGTGTTGGTCTCACTATGAATTTTAAGCATAAAAATAGTAATAATTCTTTCTTAGCTTTTTTCTCAATGTATGACTTAGTCGATGCTGAGAACGAACTTTAAACGTAACTTTCTTTTCGTATTTTTGTTTTTCAGATTGTATTGATTGAAGCGTAACAGAGATCAGGACATGAGGAGTGAAAAACAACAGATTTTCAAACAGGAACCTCACGCTAAAATATGAGAAAAGCTTCACTAGAGCCGAACACACTAGAGAGGAAACACAACACTAAACATGGCGGCAGAGGATCGGACATTTTCAGGTCAGTAAAACTTATCTCACAGACTCAGAATACATGAGAAAAAAATATGTAGTATGTTAAAAAAAAAAAAGTGAAATCCCCATAGTCTAAAATTGAAAGAGGAGGGCAGGTCAGAGGTATTGTATTTGAATGAATTTTCAGTTTTACTTATTTTTTTCACAATAGCTCTAGAAAATGGTACCATAATTCGATTTGAATTCTTATAGGACATAAAGCTATACAATGTGGACCAAATATCCAACAAATAATAATTTTGATGGGGTTAAAAATTTTGTATCGCTACCAATTTGAAATTTCAGTCCATTTTTTGCATTTTATCTCACATCCCAGTATAGAGTTACTTTGGGGGAACCCTGGAGTGATGTGAGGGTAGGTTCCCATACCTTTAGCCTGAAGTATTTTGTGTACTTTTATGTGTGTACTTCTGTGTGTAGTAGTAGTATTTGTAGTAGTCCACTGCAGTGACGAAGTGCAGAGACCAGGAGGCTCAGGAGGCCATCCATCATCCAAACATCAGCCTTAAGTGAGCCTCTCCGGACCAGGGACCCCGAGCCGAGCGCCAAGCCCAGAGACGGAGCTCCTGACTGGGACTAAACAAACAGCTACGCCCCCCTCACCACCACCAGCACCACCATCGTCATCCTCATTTGAAGCTGTGAGTGGGAAAATGGAGCAATAATAATAAATTCATAACATTCATTTACAACACTGACGAGTTTTTAAGCAGTCTGTCGTCATGGGAACAGAGCAAGCAATTTTAAAATTTACCTCATTTTAATACGCTGGTGCTAAGAAATACAAAAATCACAAAAAATAAATTAAGGCCAGGACAGAACAAATTATATCAAGACTTTTTTCATCATTTTGATTGAACCCATGCTTTTACTGACAGAAGATTGCATTAAAACTAAAACCATAAACATTCACTCTATTAATTATATGTCTGTCATTAAAGGATAGGACATTTTGTTTTGTATTGCTTATTTCTATGGCAACGGTCCTAATTTGTCATCACTCATGTATAGCAGGACTCAAACTGCAAACCTTCAGGTAGAGCTGGGCGATATTGGCAAAAAAAAGTATATCTTGAAATCATCTCAATGTCAAGTCCATCAAAAATATTCCAAACTGTGCCTGTAATTTACTTTTTTATGGTGAGCTATTGCAGTATTGGATTAGTAAAATTATGCAATGAAGTGCAGAAGTGTTAATTTTTAGTCTTACTCTATTTATTACATGGAAAGTTTGTTAAAAAAAAAAAAAGCTTGCTGTCTTTTTAAAGTTTTGGCTTTTTAATTAAACAATATAGTTGAATTTCAAGATTTTTATATCTCCAAAACAGCTCTCAATTTTTCGCTGTTTCGCCCATCTCCATCAGAGTAAAAGTATTATTAAACATCCCATATTACACAAAACTGATTCTTCTGAGCTTTAAATCATTTTAGAATGTTGTTTCCTCATTAAAAAAAACAAAACATACCTGGAGTTGTTTTGTTTCATTCACACATTTGATCCTTTATTATTATTCTGTCTACATCTACAAAGGCTAAAATTCTCTGCTCCACCTTGTGATGTCATGTAGTGGTAATTTTCAAGTTAACAGCTACCTTTTGCGTTTAGTTTAGAGATTGACAATTCCAGGTCTGAAATAATCCAAATTATTCTACTAAAGGTGTATGGAAGGTGTATGGAGTTTAAAACACAGTGAAGCACTTACCACATGACATCACAAGGTGAAAGAGAGTGTTTTCTGCTTGAGAGAAGAACACATCCAAAATACGCAGGGTTTGTGTGTGAAACGTGTGAATGGAACGAAACATAAGTCCGGGTATTTCTGTGGTGAGGAACATTATGGTATAACATAGATCAGAAAATAATGTAATATAGGACCTTTATACAATTTACTTTACCATATTTCATTCTGTTTATAATGAAATCATATTTGCTGCATTGCATTTTATAATTTCTTATTGAATAAAGTCCATTGAAATGTACAGCTTGTATGTACTCTTGTATGTTCCCTGGGTCACATATACCTTGCCCTCTGCTCTCTTCTCATTTGCAGAACATAAAGCATACTACTCCGCACAGAGCCACGCGGTTCAGCTGGGGTCAGGGGCCAAAGGTCATATTGTGTCTGCAGAGGATTTGGACTGTTGGGTTTGATCTGAAACATGCTCTTTTCTGCGTGCACAAATCTCACGGTTGGTCCTTTTAAGAAATCCAGGGACATTTCTTGTTTATAAAACTGTTATACATGCAACTATACGGGTGTCTGTAGGCAAATAATGATACTTTGATGATTGAAAGTAATTGCTGTAGTGAACTAAGTTAACAGTTATTCAAACGGTGGCTGTGAAATGTCTTAAAGGTCCTATATTACACGAAATTGACTCTTATGAGATTCAAGCTATGTTATAATGTTGTCAGCTCATCAAAAACATGGAGTTGTGTTTTGTTTCATTCATCAAGCCGTGGTTTTCAAGTTAACGACTACCTTTTATCATATGTTCAGGAGCAATTGGAAATCCCAGGGCTGAAATAATACAAATTATTCTAGTAAAGGTGTATGAAGTTAGGCACTTCCTGTATTACCACATTACATCAGAAGGTGGAACAGAGTATTTTCTTTTTGAGAGAAGAACTCAGCCCAAATATGCAGTATTTGTTTGTTAAGCATGTCAACAAAACTCTGCTCCAAGTATGTTTTTGATGAGGAAATGGCATTATAACATAGATCAGAAAGTAGTGTAATTATGGCCCTTTTAATGTCATAATTAGAGCATGTGCCAACAATGTAAGATTTATCCAATTATTTGAGTATTTTTTAATAAATCACAAAAAATTACAATTAACATCTATTAGTTTTGTGTGATTAAACCTCTTTTCCAGCATGTGCTATGTAGTTTGTGTATAGTTCATATTACAATTATTGATTTAAAGAAACATTTTAAGTAAAAATAGCTTATATGAAATACTTTCAAAAAGCAAGGTGTAAAATTCTGCTTTCCAAAGGATAGATTTTAATTTTTTTTATCATTCCTACATAAAACATAATGACTATAAATTAAGTTTTTTTGTTTTGTTTGATTGCATTCATTTCAGTGTCTAGTTGTTAAAATACTGTTACCATAAATTTAGGAGTCCCTGTTGAAATGACAAAAATTACAAATCACACTGTTGAGTATAGACAAGCCCAAATTTAATCGGTCAAATATTGATCAGTACAATTTGTCAGTCCTGTGTAGCTCAAGGACAGACACGGGAAAAAAGTGTACAGCATTTTATAATTTAAAAAGAGTGCGCAAAGAAGTGGTGCTACAAATGCATATGATATTTAGAGCATGGTTTTGTGAAGGAGCAGATGAAAAATGTACAAATTGAAGGAGACAGTTGTAGAAAAAAGGTGCAAATACAGAACTTCTGTCAGTGTAAAAAAGAAAAGTTTGAATGAATTTAGAATATACATATTGTTTGAGTGAATTTGGCTATATTTTTTGACAAATTTTTGTTGGTAGGTTTAGTTTGAATAAACCCCCCCTTATTGAAAAAAGTAAACAAATTGTGTGGTTGTCGCTTAGATCAGGGTTTCCCAAATTGGGGGTCAGGACAAATGTCGCAATGAACCACACGTATAAATCATATTAAACAAGATTTAACTTGTTTTGTCACTTAAAATTGTTACCGATGCCAATTAGATTAATTTTTTTTTCAGTTGTATGGTTAGTTGATGTGAATCGTTACATTCAGCCCTCACTGTTAGCGGTGGCTACATGCTTGCTGCTGGGATTGCACATAGAGGAGTTCAACAGCACTACTCAGAACAAACAAAGCACATCTCTTCATTCAAAATCTCCAAACCATATTGTGCAGGGGAAAAGTCGCCATAATAATTAAAACAATTATGCATTAGAAACTCTGCTACTTTATCTAATCAGTCTTTGCTCTGAAAAGAACAGCTATAGAATTAGTTTTCAAATTGCAGTTCAGTTAAAGGTGCATTCCAAGCTAAGCTGTAACTGTTTAGCCTGCAATGTTCCACAGTATGGCATTAAACCCATCCACCTAATTAATTCTTTTGATCATACGTGTGTTTATTACCAAGAGATTCTGCTCGTCTCTATGGAGATAAATACATTTATGTTCATTTGTGGAACATTGGTGAAACAATATCTCCACTGGGAAAAGTTTCCAGACTCAACATCGGAAAATGTACATAGTGCCCTTTTAATAATTTGGACTCAATAGTGTCAGTTCTTATTTAGTTTTGTTTGGTGAAGACATAGTTCTGATGATATAGTCGGAAAGCATACATTTCTACTGCAATGTCAGTAGAAAACATTATAAATAACTAACATTTGCTTAAATTACAACCACATCCGTTTTCATAAGATCTACATATGCAGAATTAATGGGACATGCAATGTAAAATCACAATATGAAAATGGTTTGGAAGAACTTTAAGGTTCTGGGATTATGAATGTTGTAGTAAATTTTAAATAGAACTGCACTGGCTGAGATGTTCAAGAGCCCATTTTAAAACAACAAGCTTTCTGTCAATACAGCAACAGCCAAATGCAGATACATAGAAATATATAATGCACCAATAATAAGTCAATCTACAGTGCTTTCTATCACAAACAGGTGACATTTCAAAAGAACTTGCTTCACTTTGTGTTATTTTTTACAATTCTTCTAAAACAACTGACCCAATGTCATCTAAACTATACATTAGGGCTGCACAAATTGCAAATGTGAGTTACTGTGACAAAAGAACCTAACTGGTTTTAATAATTAGAGAAATGTTTGTGCCCATTTGTTGTTAATATGGACATTTGAGTCTGAAATTAAGTTGATTAAGCTGATTGATCAAAATAAAATTCAAATTAAAACATATCGGGATGTTGCTTCTTCTAACTAAAAAGAGATTTAAGCCATTTCTTTAAAGATATAAATTAAAAGTGTTGTACATATAATTCAAAAGTTGTTTTAATTTCTTAATTTAGTCCTTATTTTCCAGTGCATTTCAGCTTACTGTGTCAAACTAGTATACTTAAATATTGAACATCGTTATCAAATATATATGTATTGTGCAGCTCTAATCGACTTTTTTTTTTACATGCCTCTAGTTGTCAAAGATCTAAAAGGTTTCTTCAAAATACACAGCATAATTTGGATAATGATAATAATATGGTGAAACTATTATAGAATACGTGAGTAAACTACTTTAGTGGATTAAATGGGCAGAATTGTTCATTCTGCTCAATAGATTAAAATAACATTCACATTCATTGTTGACTTTGAGGAAAAGAACAAACCAAGCCATCATCTACAAAAGTTCCTACCACCTGCCATTTAAAAACAATAGAAATCTTAAAACAAAATACAAAGGAAAAACAAACAAACTTAAACGGGACATTCAAGATGGCCGACCACTGTAGGGGACGTTCACATTAAAACCTATGGACTTCAGTGTATTGTGGTAAATTTGATAAAATGTTCAAAATGGCAAATCAAAGACAAGCAATCACACCGTACACTGTAATAACAAAATATCTAGTAACGTAATTAGTTCAAATGACTTCTATAGACAGTTTTGAGTAGTTTTAACTAGAATTATTAACTTGGTGAAGAAAATTATTTGACTTGTTTCAATATATTGCTTCTCATTTAAAGCAAGACAATTTTTTATTTATTTATTTATTTATTTTTCCGGATATGTAGATTAATGTTGGTGTACTAAGTGACTTTTCGGCCTCTTGCTTGCCTCCATAGAGATATTATTTTGACTGGACTGTTTCACGGTATGGCATTAAACTTATTCATTTTGCTTTTTTAGTTTAATTCCAAATGAAGAAAATTGCCTTGAAAAACATCGTTGTTGTATGTGGGGTTGCCTCTTCTCAGATCTGACCTGTAACTTGGTTTTTGGGCATGCATGTCTCTTGTTTAATGCCATAAAGTACTGTGAAACATTTTAGATAAACTAATAACATCTCAATCCATGTCGCGAAGCAAGTGGCCAAAACCAGAAAAGAAAAGATCCACCTTAAGATGCTGTCCAAGAAAGCCATTTTGAACACAGTAAACCTAAAAATGCAGCTATAATTGGTCTGGTGTTCCCCTTGCAGTCCTGTTGTTATTCTACATATACGAGGGTGACAGAAAATTACATTTAAAATCCCCCCACCCTTCAGTGCAGTAGCAGAGCTTGTCTTCAGAAAAACATCCTTCTTATAGTTGTATATTTTAAAACAAACAAGACGTATTTGGTGGCACAGTCTTTCACAGTGAAGTGGTGATCTTGTCATGTTGCAACCTCTTCTTTTATTTTTCATTAAATTTTTTTCCTACATAAATTAAATAACTTTGTCGAACTTGTGTCCCATAATGTCAGGAAAGTGTGTGGCCCGTTCCCATTCGTCAGTGCAGTGTGAAGATCTAGACAAATCCTATTTCTCAAAACTTGCATCCTCAAAACCTCAACTCCTCAACTTTTAAAATGGTCTGTTATAGCATAATGTTCTATCTGTAGCCTTGTGTTTTTCAAGCAGCTTTTTCTCCCTCTGTTGTCAGCAGAGGGCGTCAAACACTTATCCAAGCATTCAGAAACATACATTGATTAATTTCTAGTGTTGAAGATAAGAAAAAAAAAAAGTCAGCTTTGATGTCAACTTAAATGAGATTTTGTACAAAATAGAATCTTTTTTCTATTCTCAGGAAAATTTAGCTTTTTTCACATCAAATCAGTATTTTTATAATAATATTTTTTGTGTGTGTGTGTGATTATATGACAGTACTCTATGTATGTATGTATGTATGTATGTATGTATGTATGTATGTATGTATATATAGTTTAAAGATGAATTAATTAACTAATGATCATGAACATCCCTGATACTGGATGCACTGTGTACCTTTTATGGTGCAGTGCCAGACACCTGTTTATCTCCATGAGACATTACATTGCCTGAAATGTTACAGTATGGCATTAAACCTATCTATCACATGGAAAGAAACAGCTAGCCCAAACAGACCAAATTAAAGGTCTGGTGGGGCTAGATCTTGCCAAATTGTGGAACATTACAGGCAAAGTAGAGGAGACAAGAAAGTAGTGTTCCCACCAATCACCAACCCACCACAAAAGTGACACAATGCACCTTTAAGCTATATAACAAGCTTAAATCTTCAAAGGCGGAATAATGTAAAATACAACTTCGTAAACGGAGAATGGAGTTGAGGTTTTGACGATCCAAGTTTTGTAGAAAATTTGACTCTCCTGGACTCTCACATGAATGGGGCCTAGGCTGCCACGTGTCCGATCAGGTAGATGTTGTCGTAGAGATGTCCCACGAAGTCATCAGAAACATTGTGTGCGGCGCGACGGGTGTTTCGGATGAACTCGCGCTTGGACATTTTGTTTTTGACGTGAGGACTGGTCAGGTCAATGGACAGCAGGATGAGACTGTAGCACAGCACGTACACCGCATCTGCACAAAGATATAAACGCATACGGTTTACTGAACTGGTCAATAAGCTGCATGAAATGGGCGTGAAGAATTGGGACTAGGGAAAGACATTCAGCTGGAATGTCTCATCAACATTATGATGCTGAGGCACAGAACCTGGGTGATATTTACGAAGGAACACAGTTATAACATGATTGAAAGCTCATTGAAATAAATTTGCACGTCTCATTTATATTGTAAAAATAAATAAATAAAAAATATTAATATATATTATTATTTTGTTTTATACAAGCATGAGAGCATAACATGTGTTCTTTAAAGGTCTTATATTACGCAGAGCATTTCTGTGAGCATTACGTCATGTTAGAATATTGCTCCCTCAAAAACATACCTGAAGTTGTGGTTTGTTTCATTCACATATGTTTGAATAGTCCTTTATTATTAGTCTACTTCAAAACTTAAAATGCTCTGTTCAACCTTGTGGTATCAAGTTAAAAGCTACCTTTTACCTTTTGTTCAGTAAACAATTCCAGGGCTGAAATTTTCCAAATGATTCTAATGAAGGTGTATGGAGCTCAAAAACACAGTGTAGCACTTCTGTTTTTTCTGGTTGAGAGAAGAGCTCTGCCTAAATATGCAGGATTTGTGTGTTAACATGTGAATGAAACAAAACACAACTCCAGGTATTTTTTGATGAAGAAACAACATTATAATAAAGATCAGAAAATTGGTCCCTTAAAGTTAGACTTCTTTTACTTCAGTATTTCCCAGATCTGTGTAACCCAAACATGCACAGTACACTAATCCTCCTGTGTCCCTGGGGTCTGCGCTGTTTTGCTTTGTTATATCTGTCTTAAATTTCACAGTTTGAATATGTGTTTAGCATGACGTCACATTCACCATTAGGGACAAACAGAAGTAGAAACTGAAGTGCAGACCATGGCCTCAGCCTGAGACCCATTACTCTAATCCACTTAATCTACAGAGTTTGTGCTTCTCTGTGGTCTGCTCACAGGACCAGAGATCTGGACAGGACTAGTCTGGGATTACTGAAATAAACCTGGATTAGCCTCTGTATTTGTCTGATCCACAAGTTAATGCACCCTAAACACAGACCTCTACTACCAAATTGGACAGAGCGGACATGTTACAGAGTACGGTCTGGAAGGATGAAATTAAACTTATTTTTGTTGTGTTTGTGTCCCCAATACATGACAGGCAGCTAACAGCATCTGAGGTTAAATAGGGATTGTAGTAAGGTTTTCACAGTCAGTTGAAGCAAATGTACTCAATGTCTAGTTTCATTTTCTACTTTTTATGTAGTTTTTATTTAATACTAATGCTAATATACAACACTTTTCCAGAGGCTCAGTCGGCTTTCAATTTTATGCATTAGGACCCTCAGACCCCACATTCATTCTAGGCAGTGTGGGTGAAGTGATGTAAGTACGTGGACGTAAGGAAGTGCTTAAGGACACAAAAACAGTATGTATTAGAGACGTGGTTCCCAACCTGTGGAGTGGGACCAACTACGTCATCAAAATTCAAATTCAAAAAAGTTTATTGTCAATTCTTCATATGAAACATATGAAGAATCAAAATTGTGTTTCTCGCTCCCAAGCGTATAAATAAATAAATAAATGATAAATGGAAAAGTCCAAGTGTTCTTTGGGGAGATGTAGATTCCTAGCTTCCTGGCACCCTGATGGTTAGAGAGGGGGTAGAGTGCAGCATCCTAATAGTGACAGCATTGTGGATGAGACGGGTGGTGTACATGTCTTGCAGGCAGTGTTGGGAAGTAACAGATTACATGTACCAGAGTTACTTAATCAGAGTACAAATTATGAGTAACTGTATTCGGCTACAGTTACTGTTTAAGTGAGTGGTAATTAGATTACACTTACTAGGTTGAAATAAATGGATTACACAGAGGTATTTTCCTGTTGTCACATTTTGGGCTAAATTCATTTTTCTTTTTTTTCCGGTAATTCCACTCATTGCCGGACACTAAATCAGGTCTAAAACCAGATCTAAACCAGGTCTAAACCCAGGTCCAAACCAGCTCTAAAACCAGCTCTAAACCAGCTCTAAAACCAGGTCTAAACTAGGTCTAAACTAGGACTAAAACCAGAACTAAAACCAGGTCTAAACCAGGTCCAAACTAGGTCTAAACCAGGTCTAAACCAGGTCTAAACCAGGTCCAGGTCTAAAACCAGGTCTAAAACCAGGTTTAAACCAGGTCTAAAACCAGGTCTAAACTATGTCTCAAACAGGACTAAACCATGCAGTGCGGACCATGTCTCCTCGTCTTCTATCAATACTATTTCTAATTTGGTTAAGTAAAGTCTGGGTTTTTTATTGTCTTTTATCAGACAAAATATCTTATGTGAAGATGTCCGAGTCTTTGCTTCTCTACAGCAAATCAAGTAATCCAAAGTATTCAGATTACATTACTCACTTTAAGTAATTTAATAGATTACGTTACAAACTACATTTTGGGGTATGTAATCTGTAATCTGTAGGGGAATACATTTTAAAAGTAACCTTCCCAACACTGCTTGCAGGGAGGGGAGTGGTGCACTAATGATCTTCCTGGCTGTGTTCACTATGCGCTGCAGGGTTCTCCTGTTGTGGTCAGTGCAGAATGTAGTCATGATGGTTGGTGAGGCACTTGCCCACCTGAGTTTTCGCAGGAAGTGGAAGAGCTGCTAGGCTTTCTTCACCAGTGATGCACTGAATTTTATGCTGCTCACTCTTTCCACAGCAGCACCATTGATGGTCAGTGGTGGGTCTTGTTGTCGACTTCCAGAGAGGAAGTAATCTTGCTGACATTCAGCTGGAGGTTCTTGTCTCTGCACCACGTGGTCAGAAGGTCTACCTCTTTCCTGTAGTGAGTCTCATCGCCCTTGGTGATGAGACCCACCAGAGTTGTGTCATCCAGGAACTTCACAAGGTGGTTAGTGCTGTAGGTTGTTGTGCAGTCAAGTGTTAGCAGGGTGAAGAGCAGAGGATAGAGCACGCAGCCTTGGGGAGTTCCTGTGCTCAGAGTGAATGGTGCTTGAGGTATTGTTGCCAGTGTGTATTGCTTGTGGTATTTGGTTGAGGAAGTCTAGCAGTCAGCTGCAGAGGGAGGTGCTGAGACCCAGCTTGTCGAGTTTGCAGATGAGAAGTGATGAAAAGTACTATATGCAATTTAAAATAAAAATAATGGCACATATTTTATTAGAAAAGGGAAGAAATTATCATTAGGAATACTTCTTATCTTTTATGTCCTTTAAAAACAAAAAAAAACAAAAAAACATCATGTACCACTGCACTAGAGCCACAGCCACACTCTCCCATCCCCATACTAACCTTACCTGACCAACCAGAACCACATGCTTTGAGAAAACTTTACAAAGATGAGTGGATCTGGAGCCTTATCCTGTCCCCCTGATTTCAGAGAGCATGATTGACAGGCAGATTAACCAATCAGAGAGACGCATGCTCTGTTCGCATCAAAAACAAACATCTACGTAAAGGACTGAGAAACTGTGCAGATTTTCACAGAATCAGCAATTGAAGCACCAAACTATTACTTATGTCGGGAAATAGAAGTTACATATTTAGATCTGAATGTTACAAGAATTTTTGAAAGGAGATGTCTTCCACATTTGAGGGTCACATGCTCAAATTAGCGGTTATGGTTGGATCATCTAAAATTTGGATGGAGTTTTTTCACGCTTTATTGTCCGATTCCAGTTTTTTCCGGATTCAGACAGAATGTAGAAGTTACTGGCTTGTCAGGCAAGTACTAACCAGGCCCAAGAGATATCAGGCATTCTCAGGTATGTCTGTGTTGAGCTTTTCTGTTTGTTGTGTGCTTATTTCAGCAGATTGTTACAAAGTCCAGTATGTTGTTTGTTTAAGCCCTCACCTGGACTGAGGCCGAGCTCACGCACCAGTCCGGGGTTACAGGTGCAGAAGCGATGACTGAATTTAGTGATGAGGGTCTCCAGGTACTCGCCCCTCTCCTCTGGGGCGTGGATGTGTCTGAAGAAGTCTCTCAGGGCGTTGGGCAGAAACTGATTACTGAAATTATGCAGTGTCACCAGCTCATCCAGGACGTCCCGCCTGTGTACATACCACTATACCAGTACTTTAAATGGTAAAACATGAGGCAATAAGTGATTGACTGATTGACTTGACTGATCATTGGAATATACTGTTACTGATGTACCTGATGTAAATATAGAAAATTTGTTTTCTATATTTACCCAATTATATTTTTTATTAATTGTATTTCTATTTAATCACCAGAGTTAGTTTTACCTCTCGTCAAGGTAAATCCGCAGCATCTTCCAGTTGAGCCTCCTGGTGTAGAAAATGAACTTGGCCAGCTCTGTGGGGTGGTCCACCAGAATGCTTTTAGATAAGAAGTAACCAATACCCTGTACATAGAGAGAGAGGGCCAGATCAAATATTATGCAAAATGTATATATAAATAACATGACTGCCACCAGAATTGAGATCCATGCATTGCAAAAGCAGAATGTTCGGACAAATATTTTAATCTGATTAAATTAAAATAGCAGGCCAAACTGAAAAATCAAACCTTCGTTAAATCCAGTTGAGAGAAAGGCCCAGACATCTTCCCTGTCCACAAATGCACAAAGTACTTCCCTGTGCACGTTTTCAAAAACAAAATGGTCTGTGTTTCAGCTAAAATAGTTTGAAGTATGTCTGTCGGCATCGCCATATTTGTTTTTGGTTTTTTAACACTCAGACATTTATTCAGAGAATTATTCTGGCCAGCTGGTTTATCTTCATAAGATATAACATTTCTTATTCTTAACAATTTTGTGGAAACGTTAATAAATAATACCTCTTGTGGGTTAGCGTTAAACGTAAGACAGCCTTCATCAAGCTGGAGGTAAAGTCTTCTATAGGAGAATCCATCGGGTAGTGTTCTGTTGTAGATAGAGCAGTGTCCCCATGTGGATTTGCACAGTCTGTATGAACAAGAAAAAAATTTTAAAGCAGTATTCTATATTCTGTGTATGTAAATTTAGTTATGGTTGATCAATAGTTAAAAAATTATTTGGTGGAAAAACACAACATTAAACTAATCTATCCCCGTAGAGACAAGCAAGTTACAGATATGTTCAAATCTAACTTTAAAGCCTACTAAAACTGCAGTTATGAGCAACAAATCCACACAGTGTAATCTGCCTCACTAGAGCACGAACAAAAAAATACTTTGCAAAACACATGCAAATCTGAGTTCACTGTTCACACTAAATGTATACAAAATACATGATTTATCCCTTTAGCTACAACCAAGTGTTCCCAACTTTTAAAAGTATGTATATATTACAAAATTAAATATGTATTCTGTAAAATATATGTCTATACATATTTTCTTCATAGTCACAACATAGATTCAATTGCATAATAATTAGTTGCTGATACTTGCTGCTACTACTGGTAACTACAATCCAACTAACTCTTTCTACTATTACACACAGGTGCATGCTATTTTACCTGGCAAATATAGAATGTCTGTATTTTAAAGAGATATGATTTTCTGGATGCCAGGAAAGCTGCTTTTACCAATACTGCATAGTAATTTCAATAAAACCCACCTATTTAATCTAGCAAATTACCATATTGCATTAGCACAGAGAAACATTAAAATCATGCTAAAATCATGGTTACTTGAAAAGCACATCTGTGACCAAAGTAAATAATGTCATTTCTTTGTGCTGATTTTGTGCTGCCTGCCGCCATGCCTATTGTCCTGAATCATTGTGGTTGACTTTTGTTGTTGTTGTCTATGGCTTTTGTGCATTGACCCCATTCAAATAAATAAATAAAAATAAAACATAGCAATATAGCAATATATTGTGCAGCCAAATAGTTACAACAATTATTAGCCTAAGCAAAGCAGTCTCACCCCTGCCACAGATACTCATCGTTGCCCAGGCCGTGCCATACACAGCTGGCCAGGCACAGGTCAGTGGCGTTCAGGTATGATAGGATGGTGATGCCCAGCTCTGGAGGTAGCATCTCCAGGTCGATGAAGCCATGCTGTTCCTTACCTGGTGGAAACACATGAAGACCTAAATCAGGACTTAAGGCAATCATGATAACATCAGACATGAGCACTACTTCATTTAAGCCAATGTAAGAAACCATCAGCCATCTTTGTCAGAACTTGGGTAGTGCAAAATTTTTGTTTTTGCAATATGTTGTTGATTCATTTTGTGTAGCCTTTTGAAAGCTAAAATATTGGGAGCGATGGGAAGCCTTAGAATATGGATAGAAATATCAATGGAAAACGTGAAAATGTATGTTTAATAGAGGCATTCAACAGTATTGTCAACACCATTGGCTGTATGTATTGTTTATACCAGGAGTCATTAACTGGCGGACCGGTGGTCCGAGTCTGGACCCAGACGCCATCCCATATGGACCCAGGCAGGGTCAGCCCGATCTTCTCCATACCACTGTTCCAATTGTGAAAGGTATCGATGCTCCCCGTTAACACCGCGAGCTGTCAAGTTATCACCATGAACTCATAAAACAGCAGCATGTAGCCTATAACTTTGTACACAACTCACCACACATCAGCCCGGATCAGAAGCACTGAGTTCAGGTAACAGCAGCAGGTAACAGCAGCAGCCAACAGCAGTAGAGGCACAGCAGCACTCACTGTAGCGCACAGTTCCTCAGGATGGGATTGAGAGTCCAGCCCTTGGTCTTGTGCAGTCCTCTGAGCGCATTGATCAGATAGGTCTGGAGGCTCTGTCATCCATGTGCTGTTTCCAGACGGGGACGAGCAAGAACAGTGCGCAATGGACTGGGTCCGAGCAGGTCTGTGCCGTCGTCTGCGCGCTGGTTCCGTGTGAGGAAAGTGAGAATGCGCTGTGGACTACAGGTCTGGGTGGGCTGCTCCTGCCCTGCGCGGCTGGTTCCGAGGTAATGCAAAGCATCCAGACAGAAGCATGAATCCCATTTGGCTCATTATATGTTGTTCTGAGCAGCCCGTCCGTAAACTTGGTTCTTCCCGGGGAAGAACCACTTCCCGCTCCAGCTCATCTGAGCCTAGCCTGAACCAGAGCTGCTCCCACTGGTTCAGGACTAGTCTGACTGTAGCATTTCTTGCACTAGGCTAAATGCAGTTCATTTTATAAGCTGAACCAATTGAATAGGGCCTATTCAGTTTACACTCTAAACTTCACACCACTGTATTAAAAAGGACAAACAAACATACAAACCAATCATGATGCTACTTAGCCAAGTCGAGATGTGAAAGCTAAAGAAAAAAGGGAAATTCGAGCTGCTATTTTTTTTATAAATTTTTTTCTGAAATTCAGCACTTTAATGATTAAGATGTACAATTTAGCTATTTTATTTATTTTCTCTAATTGATTTTAAACTGGAGCCCTATATCTAATGTAGGACTACTGTGTGTTTCAGTGTTAACAGTACATTTTGTTGAAATGTTTTTAACTTGTATTTTCATTAATTTGACAGACTATTGTTCATACATTCAGGCATTGAAAAAACTAGGCTACTATCACAATCATAATGCAAGTTAGACATTATGATGTCCCAGACCTCTGCTTGAGGAGATTTTCTTACCCTTGGTTTATACCTTGTTCATAAAGTACATTTATGGTGTGTTTTTACCTCCTCGGCGTGATCTTAGCAGATGGTAGATGTCAGGGCCGTAGCAGTGCTGAGGACCTCTCCTCTGGCCTCCATCTCTCCCTGTACACATAAACACTGTTTACATTTTCATACATGATGACATCCCAGTCACTTGGTAAACAAATAAAAATGACTTACATTGTATTCTTCTAAATTAACAGTATTCTTAATTCATTGTATTCTTCTAAAATAAGAGTGTTAAATTGATAATAATAAATTGAAGTGTAAGCGACATAGTTGTTAATGAAATTGCAAAATATATGTAAAAAAACAACTGCAATATAATTCTGAATCACTTTACAACAACATAGCAGCTGTTACATATTAAACACATTTTATTTTTATTACCGTGGTCGCTTCTTCTTCCTGCTTGCTCAGCCAAGTGGTCTACAAGCTCTTCCTGAAGGTGGTGTTGTTGTCTGGGAGGCAGCCTCCAAAGTGCTTGACCCATCTACATCAGAGAAAAACAGTAAAATGTTACATTCAATGGAATGAAATAGGAATAACATTTTATTTCATTCATGCACACTGGGTCTGAGTAATGATTTTTATTCTTTCAAATTTGACATATAGTGGAATCTAGTGAAGAGATTATTTTTGAAGAAATGTAAATCGTTAATTGTTGATGGTAGTATAAAAATCATCTTTGATCATTCTAGTTAAAGGTCCACAGTGTAACTTTTCTGGTTGACAGTCCACCACCTACTTGTCTACATAGAGATCCTTAGGTATAATGTGAATGATAGGCATTAAAGTTATATCAGTAGAGTAAAGCAGGCAACATTACCAGGCCAACTTACAGGTCAGATCTGTGGAAAGGCAACCCATGCACAAGGCATTTTGTTTTTATTTTTTTATTTGCAATAAAAAACAAAAAAACACTAGTTTTTGAACAAATGCAGACTTTACTGCCATTCTGTGTGGAAAATTTTAAAAGCAAAGTAATAACATCATACTGGAGAAAAGTAGGTGACGGATCTTGCACAGAAAAGTTACATAGAGCACCTTTAAAACATATACAGTGTGCTACTGTCACTTGTAAATAAATTGATTTCACAGGCACCAGAACAGCCCATTGATGACCGAAACTATTCTCGATACTGCCATCAAAGGCGACTATACTGGAGCAAACGTGAATACAGAGCCCTATTATAACGCCTATTGTAAACCTATGGGCACAATGGCATGAAGCGTCTTTTTAGTGACTATTAATAGATGCTACATCCTTTCCCGTTCGCGTTAGCTGGGTTGCATAAACAAATCCATTGCTCTGTTGTAAACATCAACGCTGGAAGTTCCAACATCAAGGTAGATTGACCAAAAGACCCGCCTTTTCGTAAAATACCATTGGTCCACACGCCACTAAAGCAATAAAATGTACGCCTCATTGGTTAACATAGACATCACTCCTTTTAACATCGTTACAAATCCCAGTTATCATTTTCCACAAGTTTTGGGTTTTCTAAAAGATGTAGACAGAAAACACTTCAAATAAAACTTGAAGTATTGCTTATCTAACAAAATGTATGACTTGCAATATCAGTGACAGTAACCTGCTTACCTGAGTGAAGCTATTCCTCGGGATGTGCGCGTAAGGACAACCAAAAGCGACTTATTTCTCACGAAGGATCCCAGAAGGACATTAAGGAAATAGCAGATAAAAATAACTAAAATAAATATGCTGGAGGTTGAGGGAGAGGCTTCATTTCACTGCCTTTACAGAGAGCTCGCCCATTTGTTTTGCCCCAGCGCCCCCTGTCACTACAGACCACGCCCCCTTTCCTTCTTCCTGTCTCACGTCACTTCAAAACTGAAATAATACCATTTAATTAAATATGTAAATATTTTTAGCACATATTTGAAATATGAAAAAGAATACATAAAAAAAACACATAATGTTTACATACTATATAAAGTTTTAAAACGTTTGACGTACTGCTCATGAAACGTCACTACTGGGTTGCCAGATTGGTGGTGATGTCGCCCCATAGACTGTAGTGACATCTATGAATCCGTCAATAAAGGATCCACTCATATTCTGGCAACCCTAGCACAGCGGTACAAACAAAAATCTACACGGAACACGATTGAGGAAAAAGGTAAAAAAAAATAATTAAAAATCAACAATCCTGTCAATTTAGGAACATTTTCCAGTTTAAACTAACTGGGATGTTATATGCGCCTTGCCACCTTTCCTTTCCTGATAATGTTGTTTCACTTTATGTCTATGTTTTAAACTGGTAACCAAGGGCAGCGACTCATTCATGTGTTGTTACCACAGAGTTGATCAGTGTTTGTTTTAGCATTACGTTATTGAAACAGTTTCCTTATTTTATATTACTACCATATTTTAGATAAAGATGCTTCCAACGGGAGATGTTCAAGGTGGCCTTCGTAAACTGGAATCTCTTATTCGTACAATAAAATACACGGGTCCTGTCAACTATAGCAGGTAAATGACTAATTTGTTAGTTCGAAGTCCAGTTGATAAGCACGTTTTATATTATTGAAAACGCATTTCAAAATGTAACTTAGCTTTATCTACTGATACCTCCCTGATTCTTTTTTCAACTTTTGTTACACGTATAAGTGAAGACCCTAAATTGAAGATCATTTATGGGATTATGTAAATGCGTTTTCTTATTGTTTTAAAGGCGTAATCTAGTCATAATCACATAACCCAGCTAATTTAACTAGTTGTGATTATAGACATACTAATAACCATCTATTTATATACAAATTATATATTCACAATTACTTTTTTTACAATTAGAACAGCTGTACACATTTCTTTGCTAATACTTTGGTGAAGAACGTAGAATTTGTGACTTTACTACTTTTCCAAACAGCCTCACGAGTGGAGACCCTGCAGCTTTTCTTCCCATTGTCAGCCACACACTCACTTCCTTTTCTCCCGTGGTGACTGAACAGTTGGTGTCATCTGGATTTGAACTGACCGGAAAAACTGACCTAAGATTCATAGAGACTGTCTATAAGGTAACCCCAATAGTATCTCCCCCTTAATATTTTAATACAGCTTGTGATTGTATCGTCACACATAATTAGAATTATGAGTTAGCCTATTATTAAACCCAAGGAGATTAAAGGACGTTGAATTCATTCTTGTCAAGATAAATGCTATTTACAGCATGCACAGTATATTAAAAGCAGCTAAACAAGACAACTAAATATAAGGGTACATACACTGTCACCTTTTGTCATCCAGTCTTGCACATTGTTGCATTGTTGTTGTTTTTTTTAATATTCCAGCCCAAGCTCTATAATTATAATGATTTTTATTTATAACCACTTTTCTAGACACTAAAGGACACTGTGAAAAACACACATACACGCACACACACGCACACATACACACACATACACACATATATGCAATTAAAGAAATCAACATGCTTAGCAAAAAAAGGTTCTCCTTAACATATTAATGATCCATAATCTTTTTTTTAATGCACAGGTGTTGAGAGATGTTTTCAAATATAAGCCAGTTTTAACCAAAGAGCAGTTCCTTCAGTGGGGATTCTGTCAAAGGAAGATTTCTGTTGTCTGTGATATCATCAGTCTGGTGCTGCAGAGACACAACCAACACAAGAAGGCTAAAGTAAGACCACACCTGCATTAAGTAGAGTCTCAGTAGAACATTTCTGAAAAGTAATATTTAAAATTCTTGCTGTACAGACTGCTGAAGTTAAGCTTGATCATTTTATATAAATTGCTTTTATTTCAAAAGACAAGATAAAATTGGGAAACACATTTTTATATGAGTTGAACTTAATAAACCACTTTTTTAAAGGAACCCAGACCAGGTCATACTCTCTTAGTATAAATGAGCTAAGAAGTTGGCTTAATACATGATTTAGTATGCTTGCAATAAAGGCATTTTCATAGAAACATTTTCCAAAAACATTTAAACCAGTCTACGTTAATTCTTTGAATGTAAAAATATTGGTTCACTGTTAAAAATTGCAACTTCTGTTTCATGTAACAAATTCACTATTTATAAAAAGGACAATTGAAAGAATGGAAGTGCGCTTGGGTTTATGATGCTTGATGCAAACTATTTGTAAGATAATAGAACTTCGCAATGTTGTGAAGATAAGTTACTGTCTACTTTGTCTAATCTTTTTTGTGTTGTTTTATGTGACCAGCCTAAATCCAGATTTCCTGCTTCACACAAGAATGTCAAAGTAGAAACAATTTCCTTTGCTGATCTGGAAAATGCCGTAAGTGTAAAGTAACTTGGATTAGATGTACTAATGAAACAAGAACAATACAAATATATCGTACATGTTTACCTTTTATTGTTTTGTTGGGTAACCACAGATTTAAACACCAATCCCATCTTTGTGACTGATTACTCAGGTTTTGTTTTTTGTTGCTTTTCTAGAAATATTACCTGTAAGACATGTTAATCTGCATCTCAAATGTGTGTATATATATTTTTCTAATGATCTATTTTTAGGTTCTTTCAAAGCACTGTTTATGAACAACAGCTTCTTACTATGTCCATACACCATGTTACTCTAGTGCATCTGAAGTTTGTATCATTAGTGGCATAAAGTTCAGGAATTATTTTTTGATATATGAATATATATCTTTTAGGTTCCTGCTACGCCTTATGTTGTGAACCATGTAGAATGTCCATCCACAATTCCTGTGACTTTCTCCCATAAAGAGACGTCTTCCTCAAAGATCGTGACCCATTCACGTCCAGTTGAAAGATTCATTTCTCAGTCTTCTGAACACAGGGTCATAGAGGTGACAGGGATACAGGAGGAGGAGACTGCTGACAAACAATGTGTAAGTATGACCTGAAATTGTACTGGCAATTTTATATATTATAAAACTGAAACAGTTAATATGATTAGTTGGATTAATCAGTTACTATGTCACTTTTTTGGTGGAGAGTCTGCTGCCCCTTGTCCCCTTGGAGATATTGTTTCTTTGCTTCATTAAATGTAAAAACATGCACCCTTGAGATTGCGCGCCTCTCCACAGATCTCAAACGTGCTCTGATCTGGATAAATTTAATGTCATACTGTGGAAAATCCCAGACAAAGCAATATCAACTCCATGGAGACAACCACTTGGTGAACTCTCCATAAGAAAAGTTAACATAGTGCAGCTTAAATTTATCTAAACTTAATAAGATACTGTGTTGTTGTTGTCTAAAGTAAACAATAAACAGACTTTAAAAAAGGTTTTATTACCAACACCAAGATCAGTACAGGATAACAACTCTTTAATCTACAGGTAAACGTATACTTCTACTTATTGTTTCCATTTGACAAAACAACTCAATAACTGCACATTTTTCTTTTTTTGTTCTGGTAATGTGGTTTTGTTTTGTTTTTGTTTTATAAAGCTGTTGTGGAAAAAATTATATATCTGTCTTGAAGATAAATAATGAATCAATTTGCGAAGCCCGATGAGTTTTTGGAATATAGACCAAGGTTTATTCTTGTTACAGCAGATATGGACAGGGCCTAGGCCTGTTTCGGACAAAGCCCAACAGCCTCTCACCGTGTCTCCCCCATGTCCCCTCCATCTCTCTCCCATGTCCCTCTCCAGAGCATTTGAGCTCTGAGTATTTATACAGAAATACAAGTTACATACATATCAAAGCAGAGTGACTTTGGTTTCAGAGGGTGGTACTAAATTAACATACAGTTGAGGACAACAAAGGGCTTCCTGAAGGCGGAGACAGTTGTGCCCGATGAACCTTTACACATGTTAATGACTGGTCTGGGTTTCAGGTAGAAATCACATTAATTTACACGACAGATTGAGAGAAATCTTTCCACAATCTAAATTTCTATCACAAAGTGTTTAAATGATTTGTTGCAAGAAGGTGTATTTATATGTGTTTTCAGTGTGTGGAGTTGCAGGGGAGGCTTTCAGCTCTAGAAACCCGAGTTGAGAACCTTGTTTCTGAGCTGGACCGATTTGGTGTCCTGGAGAAGCGCTTGGAGGAGCTGGAAAGACTGAACAACAAAGATAAAGTTGGTAGATTTCATTTGTTTGTCTTCTTATTTTTGTATTTGTGAAGATTTTGGATTTAATTGTTTTCATGCAGACTGACGAACAGCTTATTACCATATCCAGAGAGACATGGGAAAATCTGCTTAGTCGTGTTTTACTGTTGGAAACCAAACTGGAGCTGAGCAGTGCTAAGGTAACAGTTTTTATTATTTCTATTTGTAATATTAATCTTCGTAATATAGCAATAATCAGTCATAACATTAATATCCATCTGCATGACTAATATGCAACCCATGCAACACATAATGCATAACTGAACTGTGTAGACATCTATAACAACCAGTATTAAAAGTATAGCTCTTATCCAAAGTCAACTCTAGGAGTGAACCAACTCTAAAAAGTCTCAGAGATGCTGACCATTGCAGACCAGGAGCACCCTGCAAATATATGCTGAACCTGGACTGAACCTGGACTGAACCTGGACTGAACCTGGACTGAACCTGGACTGAACCTGGACTGAACCTGGACTAAACCTGGACTAAACCTGGACTAAACCTGGACTAAACCTGGACTAAACCTGGACTAAACCTGGACTAAACCTGGACTAAACTAGGTGTAATGCAACCTTTGAAAGATGATGACAACTGCAGACTGGGAACATGTCACCGCAGCTGTACTAAACTAGACCAGGACTAAACCAGGACTAAACCAGGAATCAGCACATCTGATACATACTGACCACTGCAGGGAAAAAAAAGACTTCCTAAATGTATTCCACCTATAAAAAATGCCACAATGAATAGATTAATTGTTAATTGCAATTACAATTATTATTCTTGATGTACATGTACATGTTTTTAGGTTAAACATTTTCTTTGTCTTTTTTTCAGGAGAATGTCCCTCCACCATACCCAGCAGCAACAACCTCTTTTGTCCCGAATGTTTCAGTTGATGTTCCACAGGTAAGAGCCATAGCAAGAGTATTTGAGTTTTTTTTTTTTTTTAAACAACACATATGGCTTAAGCACGAATATATGTAAAATTTGACTTATTCCAAATATGTCTGTCATGCCACTTAGCCCAGTGTCAAATGCTCCACCTTGAGAGAGAATGACAGAAAAGAACTGGATCAGCTCACTTTGACAGAACCAGACAATCAAGTAAGATCTGTCAGTTAGTATTTTAAAGGTGCACTATGTAATTTTTATGGATGACGGTATGCCACCAGCTGGTCTCCATGGAGATGATATGGCTGTGTTTGGAATGTTTGCACAATTATGTCAATAAATTTTATTTACCGGGAATAATACGGTCCTAATCAAAAATATTTTTAATAGTTTTTAATAATTTCCATTTTCATTTATAGAGATTTGTATTCTTTCATGATTAAGCATGTGTTACAGTACCAACAGTCTATTACTAATAAAAAAACAACATATATTTTCCTTAAGGATGATCTTAAAGAAAGACTGGAGAGGATCACCAACATGTAAGTTCAATGGGACATTTTTATTGAATTTTATGCAGTGTATGTATTGTATTTTATTGCATACTATTTTAATGTTTGTGTTTGTTTTAGGTTGAAGAGCACTTCTAGTCTATTGAAGAGCACTGACAACTACAGTTAATTATGTTGTTTCTTACTAGTGCAAACTTCAGCACATTCAACCACTCACTAGGTTCAATGACTGAAATACCACAGTCATTTAAAATTTGGTTTATTTTGTATTAAATCATAATGAATATAAACATAAATATTTTTTAGTTCATGAGATTTCATACACTGGTACTTCACTTTTTACTGCTACATTAACAATTGGTAAGATTACTAAATAACCATGAAATTAAAATGAGATGATTATAAATAATTGACCTTTCTAGTCGTTTTTGTTTGTCATCTGTTTGAGAATACTGTAAGAGAGATTACATATTGATAATATTTGTTTTAACCGTTTAGACATGTCCAATTAGCTCGAATACACAGTTAACTCACTTGTTAGAGCTTAAGTTTTTACGTTATTTATATAATTACTATTAGTTTTTATAAGGGAATGTAGGTGCGGTGTGAGTGAAGTGTCCTGCCTTCGAGTCAAAAAAATGGGCATAATACTCAAGTAAACGCGGGAAATCACTTCCTGTTTAAGTGACGCGTGTTGTGCGTGTTTGTGTGCAGTGCGTCTCTGCTGCAGCCCTCTCGGTCTGGCTTTTTAACTTTTTTAAAAGTGTTTATTAAAGACGACCTTAAAACGCAACATTTTTAAAGTAATGGAGACCGATCATCAGCAACCTAAACTTTGTCTTCTCAACGGGTAAGATCTTTTGCTTTATCAACATCGCATAAAACCAAAATAGTCATCGTAAAAGTGACAGTTTACTCCATGAAATAGTTTATATACTCAAAATTTTGCATAATACCTGTATATCGTTGGATTTAAAGTGCGCATTTTGTAAGGTATGCAGAAGTGTTCATATTTTGAAGTGACCTACTTTTAACCTCGATCATAAATACTTGCATTCTTGTAACTTCAGTAATTTCTCTCTTCAGATTCTTTTTCTCTTTTTTTCTCTTTATTAATCTAATATTTTTAACGTGTTTTAAACGTGTGTTTAATATGCTTTATTTATTTATATTTTCACCATCTGACTATGAAGAAAAAATAATTTTTGGAGTTCTAACTGAAATACATTCCTGCAGTAGTGGATAGTTGTGAAAACTAATCAGAAGGAATTCAGATCTACATTTACGTTGAATTGAAAGAAAATATTTCTTGTAATGTGCCCAACAATGCACTATCATAGGGTGACATCTAGTGGTAATATAATAATGATGTTGAAATGCTTTTCCTTTTGAGATCTGACCTGTAACATTATGCAGTAATGTATTACATATTTATAAACAATTGAACCCTTACTTGTATTTATGCTAAATGCAGTCCTAAACTCCGTGAACCAGAAATAGTTTATTCTTTTTTGCCATTGATTAAATAATACTACTGTATTTGTTAAACAAAGTATTTTTGAATGTGTTGTAGAGTCTGGAGGAAAAGAGAGATAGTTTAACACATACCATATGAATGGTAGTGGAACTTCTAGCCCTGCTGAATACACTTCTATATCAAAACGCGTAAGATGGTACACTTAATAAAGGACTTGTAATTATTGCACACAAAAGTGCCTCTGATTTTGTTCAGCTCCACTACCATTCACCTTAATTGGTTGGCAATGGCATGTGTTCAGCTATATCTCTGTTCCTCCATGACAAGTCGCCTCATCCTTGAAGAGCACCAATGTCTTACATCCTACTGTTTCATTAGAGATTCATTGAAGCACTTCCCTTATCTCCTGTTAGTGGTTTTAGAGTCCTTTTACTGTCTGTCTGTCTGTCTGTCTACCTATCTATCTATCTATCTGTTATATATAATATAATTCTATCTGATATATATAATTCTAATTTTATATATATATTATATAAATATTATATATACATTTTCCCCCCTGTAGTAGCACCCGGAAAAGGGAGGACTTCCTGGAGTGGCCTGAGTATTTCATGGCAGTGGCGTTTCTGTCAGCCCAAAGGAGCAAAGACCCAAACTCACAGGTGATAAGAGCAGTAACTCACTTTCATCAGACATCTATAGGGGACAGGGTGCATGTGATGTAACCAAAAAAGCAATTATTTATTACATGATTTGTATGAAATGGAAAATGCCATTTGTTGAAATTCATTTAATGCAATAAATGTACTTAAACTTGGACAACTTTTTTTATTATTTATTTAGCAGAAGTTTTCATTAAAAAAAAAAATCTGTCTTCTGCCTCTTATGAATCTTTTGATCTAATTCATTTATATGTTTTTTTTTTTTTTTGTTTGTTTGTTTTTTTGTTTTGTTGTTGTTTTTTTGCCAGAAGAGTAAAATAGTAAGTAAATAGTAAGTAAAAAAAAAGAGTAAAGTCAAGAATGTGCTATCAAAGGTAGCTCTAACAGGGCTTAGAGCTCTGTTTTATTACAGAGAGAAGGCACTGGGCAAGTCTTTGAAATCTTCTGTGTATTTTCTGATTCTGGGTACATACAAGGTAGCAGTGGAACTGTACGAGATTTGGGGGAGGAGGTGGTGGCCCCATCTAGAGGCTATAATTAAAGGTGTACTATGTGTAACGTTCTCTGTCTGTTACCTGCTTGCCTCCATAGTATTGCTTTGTCATGAAAAAAAGTTATAATAATAACTGCAACTTTCACCAGCTGCTGTGTGTCTTCCATGTGCAGGTGGGGGCGTGCATAGTGAACCAGGAGAATAAGATCGTCGGGATTGGGTACAACGGGATGCCCAATGGCTGCAATGATGACCTGCTGCCCTGGTCCCGGACAGCAGATGACCAACTGGACACAAAGTACCCCTACGGTGAGAGGCAGGCTGGCACGAATGATACACAAATATGAAACTATTCAATAGCACAGGGTATGCAAAACATCGTATATGTCAAACAATCTATTAAAAAGTGGTCATGTAGTGTCATCTTTCAATGCTTGGAATCAGATCTTGAATTTGCTGCCCTGGGGCTGATTGCTTCAGTACCAAGGTAACTACCGCCAGTTGTAATTATGCACAGGAACACAGGGATAAAGTGTTTGGCCCAAGAACACAAAACAGTGGGGCACCAGCTGCAAAATTGTCATTGTGTCCTTCAGCAAAACACTTCACCAGCATTGCCTGATACAAATGTGATGTGTGAGTGTTGGTGATGGTCGGAGGGGCCCATGGTACAGATTGGCAGCCTTGCTTCTGTCAGTTTGCCCCAGGGCAGTTAAGGCTCTATATGAATCCAATATTATCATTATGAATATATGAATGAAAGCTTCAGCCACAGTTTATGCACTTTGGCATGTGTCCTCTAGAGGGAGGCAAGAGATGAGTAATGACCAACTCTCTTAACTTTTATGTTTGTTTTTTTTTTCCTTTGTTTTCAAACAAATTGAGTTTTTAATAATTCCACACCGTGCATTTATTTAGTTACTGGGTTGTGTAAGGATTCTTAGACTGACAAGTAAGTCTATTTCAAAGGCTCAAAGTAAGGACACATGTTTAATCAAAGTTTTTAGTGCAATAAATACAGCCAAACTGAAAAAAACATGCTTTTATCACAGGTTCTATGCTTTTGAGGAAAAAAGTTGCATACTGAATTTTGATCCCGATTTTGAGTTGTATGTGAAAGGATCTCCAAACTCATATAATCTCATATAAGAGTTGAAACGATTTAGGGTGCACTCACTTTAGGACTTTAGAACTGTGCCCAAGCACGGATAGCCCCTAAAGACTCAGTCCCCGGGACCAAATTTGGCCTGCGAGATCATGTCAAATATGTATTAGAGCTGCCCTCCGGCTGCAGATAGACTTTAGAGACATTATTTATTTAAAATTTTCTTATTATTTTATATTATGCTTGTTCTGGATTAAATTTTGAAGCAAACCTTTATTAATTGTCTATTTTAATAAGAAAAGGTTTAACATTATGTATCTCCAAAGAAGCAAAAACATGCAGATGTTGTTGAAATTTTTCACTAAATATTTAGTTTGGCCCACGACTTAGTCACAGTTTTTAATTTTGGCCCTCTGTGAATTTGAGTTTGACACCCCTGCCCTAAAGCGTGGTACAGTGTGAGCGCAATCACACCATGCCCAGGCTTTGTCTCTGGCTGTCCTCACTCCTCCTCCTGTCCTCGTGTCTGTCCGTCCTCATGCACTGTTATTATATCCGTAACCTCACGGAGGAGGTTATCTAATCATATCTGTTGCACTATTTAATAGATATTTCTGCTGCTTATTTTCTTCACTAAAGTGTTAGCTCTGCTGTGCGACATGTAAAAAAAAAAAGAGCTCTGGTTCAGTTGTGCAGGTGTGAGTGCAAGATAGATATTTTTGTAGCCTATATTTATTTTCAATGTGAAAGTTTTGCGTAAATTATCAATACTGAAGTGTTTTGTTTTGTTTTGTTTTTTAGGGAGAGAGAAATGCTGAATAAATGCATCGTGTAAATAAAAAAATAATCGTTTGAATATCCTGGTTTCAGTATTGACCAAAATAATCGTGATAATGATTTTTTTTGGGGGGCCGGGCACGTTAACGCGTTAACTTTGCGTTAACTAATTAAGTCGTTAACGCCGACAATTATTTTAACGCCGTTAACGCAGTTTTTATTATTTATTTATTTTATTGTAAACGTCTGTTTCTCACTGTCTTATATTTTGAAAAAGTCCAACGCAAGCGTTTCTTTAAGTTTGACGTCTTTTCTTTACACTTTTTTCACTTTTTTCTGACCACGTGAGATGCAACGTGCCCGAGCCTCCGCGAGCCGCGAGTTCGGCCGCGGGCTCCGGCTCCGGCCGCGGGTTCAGCCGCGGGCACCGGCTCTGAGCTGAGCTTATTTCTTTAGTTCAGTGCTGGAGTAACTGATTTACCCAGATACCATTGGAAGAAAAAATGTGATTGGTCCATTTCCATTCCATTATATTAACCCGTCTTTGACGCCGTGGACGAACGGGACAAAAATACTTGACGCGCGGCCGTTGCCCTGGAAACAAGAGCCCGGTCCCGGTCTTTTCCCGAAACGATGTCAGACCAGACTGATAAAGTGTTTTTATGACATAAAACATCAGCGGAGGAGATCAGGTCGACGACTGGGGCGTATATATATTTATACTCCGCTAATGACACTGGATCAGTCCCGGTCTAGTCCTGGTCTAATCACGGTCTTGTCCCGGTCTAATCACGGTCTTGTCCCGGTCTAGTCGTGGTTTAATCTCGGTCTATTCAGGGTCTAGTCCTTGTTTAGTCTCGGTCTAGTCTCGGTCTAGTCTCGGTCTAGTCCCGGTCTAGTCCTGGTTTGGTCCCGGTCTAGTCTCGGTCTACTCCCGGTCTAGTCCTTATTTAGTCCCGGTCCGGTCCTGGTGTAGTCCTCCCGATCGGCTCGGTGATTGTGGTGTATATATTTAATCTCCGCTCATGTTTGTGGTTCTCATTCTGGTTCTCGGGTCTTGCTTCCTGATAATAACGTCGCTGCGTCATTGGATACTCGTCCCTGATTGGTTGACGCGGCGCGTCTGACGTGAAAAGTTCAGCATTTTCAACTTCTTGACGCTGACGCCTTGGACGCGCGTCTAGACCGCTGACGCCAAAACGCTCAAGACGCGCCACGTCGACGCCAGATTCGCGCCGCGCTGATGCCGAAAACGCGCCGCAAAAACGCAGGACGCTCTAGTCGCGCGTCCACATAGACTTTACATAGAAAGTGGACGCTTTGACGCTTTGGTGTGAACGGCCCTTAAGAAATATCAGACCAAGTTTATAACACTGATCTAGAAATTATTACTAGTGTAGTGTTCATTACTCACAGCATAAAAAATATTCAATAATTATATTAGTAGTACAAATGTCCATTCAATATTTTTTTCTTGAGCCTTCCCTGAATACCTTGAAGGCTCTGAGGGCTCCCTGTGAAAGAAATGCTGTTTGCACAACAAATGTATGGCTCTTTCATTTACATTTCCAATAAAAGAGCGCTATACTCTACTTTTTAATTCATTAATTGGTTTTGCGTATAGCATGCGATTAATCGCAATTAATTTTTATTTTTGCCCAGCCCTAATTTTTTTTTTTTCCCATAATCAAGCAGTCCTACTGTAATAAGCTTAGAGCAATCTGTGGGTTTCAGAATTAGGAAAAATCAGCAATGTTGCCATAACAATAAAAATAATAATAATAAAAAATCTTTAAAATGTTGCATAGTTATTTTGGTAAAACTTTGCTTTAGCCTTTTGAAAGTTGTGAAAATTGTTTATAAAATAAGTGTATGTAAATAATTAAATAAGATGCTTGGAATACATAAGTTAAGTTAGGAATGAAGTTGGACCACTGCAAACTGTTTAAATGAACAAATTCTCTTTGTCACAGCTAACACTGGTGATGTGTAAAAGTATAACTTGTATTTCCCCACAGTGTGCCACGCGGAGCTAAATGCCATCATGAACAAGAACAGTGCAGATGTGAAGGGCTGCACCATGTACGTGGCTCTGTTCCCCTGTAACGAGTGCGCCAAACTCATCATCCAAGCAGGTGGGTACAGCTCTGCTCAAAAGCATTTACATAAAATAACTTAATGTATGTTTAAATTGTACTACAAGAAATGGCATGTAGGGTCTTGTGATTTTACCTGCCATATGATTTTAGAGTACTGATGTCACGAAAATGCAATTTTACATTTAAGGTTTTACTAAGACTCTTAAATGCCTATACGTTTTTATTTTATTTTTTATTTTTTCATCTCTGTTAAGTTTATAATTTTACTTCCTGGTTGGACACGGGCAGCAGATGTGACATACATAGAGGTAGAGGTAAATTATTCATAAATGTTACCAAGCAATGATAATGTTAAAAAGTGCCAATTAAGTAACATCTCTTAATTGCACAATAGTTACCGTATGATTTGACAAATGAAAATAAATTACAACTTCCTTCATTTTTGTTAAATCAATGTTCAACTATCACAAAAATGCCTTTGTGTGTAAATTGTCTCTGTATTTTTGGATAAATCAATTAGTTCTTGGAATAGGTGGAGGGATTCTCTATAAGAACTTGTGGTTACTTCCCCTATTTTCCAGCTTTTGTTCTCATTTATAGCGTTCATGTCAATGTCTCATAATGGGGAAACGGCCGCTTGCATATTCACAGAAGCGCTGTACCAATACTCCAGCCCTGAGTGACTGGCAGTGATGATATTGTGACATTGGCACCCCATTATAGACGAGGAGAGAAAGAGACAATTAATTAATTCCGTGGGACATTCAAGTTTTCAAGTTTTGCTGCTGCAACAGTTACACTGCGCTTCCCAGTCCCCTTTATGTGTCAGTCAAAGGTCACAGTGCAGCATAGCAGAAGGACACAACAGGAAAGGGCTCTGGTGTCTTGGTTTGTGATGAAATGTGCCAGTCCCTCAAAGTATTTCCTCTGGAAGGTCTTCTGCCACATTTGCTACCACATGGCGTAAAAAGCCAATAGCATCTCAAAAGTTCATAGCTAGCTCCTTAGCTAGCCTCTTGCATGGTTTCCATGGGAAAAACTAACTTAATTTCACTTAATCCAGTCCCTTGCTTGTGTCCTTTGAACTGCACATTCTGCACTTCTTAGTTTTAACTGAATTTAAATACAAACACTAGAGCATTGAGCACAGGAAAGTCTTCTTTGAAACAGCCAGCCTTTTCAGTCCGTCCTGGAATCTGGTCCCCACAGAACTAAAGTAATGTGACTTCTATCTATAGCTTTAGGAGACCTGTGAAACAGTGGCTTCTGGACAATCAGACACGTGAACATAACTTGGACTCATCTGTATGTGTTTTAACATCACAAAGCAAATGTCTCCGTTGTGTTGTGTGATTGTGATTTATGTCTATTGTCTTTAATTTGTGTACTGTATTTTCTGAACTATAAGTCGCACTTTTTGGGGAAATGTATTTTATAAAATCAGAGACCAGAAACCAACATTTCATCTTGAAAGGCAATAGTAATAACAACAGAATAGAGAACAACCGGCTGAATAGGCATTAATATGTTAATGTAACATATTAACAGTTATTCAGATAATTATAGCATAAACAACAGAGCATAAGTTTACCAGACTCACGATCTCACTCCAAACCACTAAATCCATTGAATTCTTCATCCTCGGTCAGTCGGTGTCACTTCAACCTCCAGAGATAAACCATAGATCCATGATGTAAACGGAGCACCGTTTCCTCTTCTGTGTAGCTGTCGTCAGACTCAGCATCAGTTCCAGTTAGAATTATTCCGGCCTTTCTGAATTTCGACAGAATGCTTTCCGTGTCATTGAAGTTCAGGCTTTGTCAATTCATCCAGTGACTTCCAGGAAAGTTGGATGGCGCACCTGCCCGGTTACTGTGAAGCTGTGTTCTCCATCCACGCTTTCCGCGAGTCCCTCACAAGTTTCTCACTCACTCCAAACATTTCTTTCTGCTGCTCAATTACCGTTTTAGGCTTAATATTTCACTATTTGCAGCAAGACAGCAGCTTTTTCTACAGGACGCATGCACAGTAGAGTGTGAAGTGATGGTACAGGAGTAGTAGCAGTACTCGTCATGTGTGATGGACTGAATGTTATTGTGCATATGTCCTGTTTTTGTCTTGCCATCAACCTGCTAATCGACTACAGATGAAAATGTGTCTGTTTTGAAATCGCAGGGATTAAGGAAGTAGTGTATTTATCTGATAAGTACCATGACACACCTGGAATGACTGCGTCCAGGAAGCTGCTCAACATGGCAGGTGTCCAGTTCAGGTATGTCTCTGTACGTCCCTGTGCATGTATGTTCTGTTCAGATATAACAACTGGACTGGAATCATCTATTACTTATAAATAATAATAATACTTTTTGATAATGGAGTTATTCTGAATATTTCTCTCACTTGTGTGTCTCTTGATGATGTTTTGGTTGTGCTTTGGTTTTGGCAGGCAGTTCCAGCCCAAGAGGACTGAGATTGTCATTGATTTTAATTCCATCAACCACACTGGAACACGGAGCAGCAGCAGCCAGTGAAATACCTGATGTGTGGGACCACTGAGAGGAGTGGAGGGGGCTGTGATAACCTCCTTATCCCCTCCTCGTCTAAAGAAAACTCAAGGATGCCTCAACTTTGGCATCTTTGATATTTTGATTAACCCTTTGGAACGTTGTGATACTCTAATGTGCTACTTGGGTCTTAATGGTCTTCTTTTAACATTATGTTCTTGGTTTAGGAGCATTTTAAGGACTGAATGACTGGAGTTTAAAGTTTTTTGTGGAGAAAACCCCAGATTTCAGTTTTAAGGCAAAGAACAATTTTTACATTTTTGATTTGCTTGTTGTAAGCTGGTTACTGTGTTGTTTTTATCATTGATTTGCTAAGTGGCTTAAATGCCATTACAATTAATCCACATTGTTTGTACTTTTTGAAGCTTGTACTGTTATACTGGAATTATATGGGTGAAACAATATACTATTTTGGTTTATTCCAAATATACGGCTGCAAAATTAATCATAATCCAATTGACATATCAATTAAAATGAACACAACTGGCAAATTGCAACGTCTGTAATTTGTGCCTTAATTTCCTCCAAAAACAATAAATGTTCTTTCTGCATTAAAACCACTAACACACAGTAGTTAGATCTGTACACACATGTATTGAAATTAATACATGTGATTCTTCTACTAAACCAAGTTTATAGGCCTATTTCAGTTTTTTTTTTTTTTTTTCAGTCAGTCCTCCTGGATGCATTTAAAATGTGAACTTTGAACAGAATCCTATTATTCTATCATTAAAACATATAAATCAAATCAAATAAAAAATAAAAAGTTGGAAATACACCATTATTGTGAACTTTTGGTTAGAGAACACTGATTTGCTGCTGGAGCAGTAACAGAACTGCATTATTCTTTGCACATGTGAATAAAAAGGTCAATATTCAAGAGTTTTATTCACTAAAAACAAAATTACTATTGTTTTCATTGTAATGTTTATTTTATATAGCAAAATGATTTCCAAATGTGTTCTCACTGTCTTTAAATGGGCTGTAAGAATTGATACATTTTGAACAGATCCTGTGTGGACCATGTGTCCTTGTGTGTGAAAAGGCATCAGGCTCAAAAACTGTATAGTCAATAAATGTCCTGGACACATAAACCAGATTCTTTCTTTAAATAGATTTTGGTGGGGCGTGAATGTTTTCTTAATGATGTGACTGCTGACCTCCTTAACAACTGTGTTTGTGATTCTACACCCTCGTTCTTAAAGTCACACACTTACCACCTGCACCATGTTAGACCAGTGCTACCAGTTATTGAAAATTTTATACATTTACAAAACAAAACGAAACAGAAGTGCAGACCACAACAAAACAAAGTAAAATTAAATTAAATTAAAATTAAAATTCAGAGCATCCAGAGTAAACAATAGTTATCTGTCCTGACAGTATTAACATATCGAATTCAAATAATCGTTCCATTTCCTCCAATACCTATTACATTTAGCAGTAGAAAGTCTCAATGAAAATGTCAATCTTTCCATGTCATATATCTCGTTGACTACTTTGATCCAGTCAGTGAGTCCAGGTGCATCTTTACACAACCATTTCCTGGTAATGGCTTTCTTTGCTCCAGCCAGCAATATTGACAAAAGATATTTGTCTGATTTCTGTAATCCACATATAATATTATAAAAAAAGACTTCAGTAAATCCCAATGATATTGGCAGGTGTAATCTGAATATGCTTTGAATAGCTTTTATCACCATTGTCCAGTAGGATGTGATCTTAACACAGTCCCAAAATATGTGAAAATGCCCTGCTCTGACATCACCACAGTCTCTCCAACACCGAGCCTCTCTGGGTCATTACTCCGCTTACTCTTAATATAGGGTGTAACAAAAAAACGTACAGTAGTTTTCCATGTGAATTCTCTCCAAAGACCAGAGCTGGAGGTGGTCATTGCAGTTCTGCAGATATTGTACCAGTCATCCTCAGATATTGTAATATTAGAATCTTTTTCCCATGCTTCTTTAATGTATATACTAGAAATGTTCTTTGATGCTTGTAGACATTTGTAAGCAATGGTTATTTGTTTCTTAGGAGCATTACCTTTGCATGCTTCTAGAAAATAATTTACCAGATCCCCCTCTTCTGCAGGAAATTTTATTTTTCTATTGAAATAGTGTCTCAGCTGAAAGTATCTGAAAAGATCATGTTTTTCCAAATTGTACTTGTCTGAGAGTTCCAAATAGCTTTTCAGCACGCCTTTCAGTGATATAGACCAATAACCAGTAATACCATTTTGAGACCATTGTTGAAATCTGTTATCTGTTTTTGCTGGTAGAAATTCTGAGTCAAATGCTGGCCAGCGCATTATTTTGGCCCTTTGTTCAGTATTCTTGTTTTTAAGTATTTTACTCCAGATATTAATTGGTGTGTTTATCCATGGTGGCAATAGTTGTGAATTCAAATGTATTTTTATTAAAGGTTGGTCACTAAGTATAGATTGTATTGGGACATCAAAGTATGACTGGTCAATCTCTTTCCATTTAACATCACAACTTGGGTCACACCAATTTATCAATATTCGTAACTGGGCTGCTTTATAGTAACTATTTAGACAAGGTATAGCCAATCCACCTTCCTCCTTCCGTAATTGTAGAGTTTGAAATCGTATTCTTGGTTTTGTATTTCCCCAAATAAAATTTGAAATCATTCTATTCCATTCGTTGAATTGTTTGGTGGGTATTTCAACTGACAGCGCCTGAAATAGGTAAAGGAACCTTGGTAATAAATTCATTTTAACTATTTCAATCCTATTATACATATTCATTGATAGTATCCCCCATCGCTGCAGGTCAGCCTTAATATTTGTAGTGAGTGTTCCATAATTTTCCTCATATATTAAAGATAAATCCTTTGGTATTAGTATTCCTAAATATTTGATGCAATTGCTTTGCCAATTAAAATTTGTCATTTTACATATCTCGGCGGATGGGTGATAGTTAAAAGGGATAATCTGAGTCTTTTGTAAATTTAGTTTATATCCAGAATATGTGCCGAATTCACGGAGTAATATCAGAAGGTTGGGTAAACTGACTGTTGGGTTGAATAATGTCAAGAGGACGTCATCTGCATATAAACAGATTTTGTGTGTGGTTTCTCCTATTGCAATGCCTGAAATATCTTTATGTTCTCTTATAGCTTGCGCCAGTGGCTCAATAAAAAGAGCAAACAGGGTTGCGCTTAGAGGACAGCCCTGGTGACAACCCCTCTCAAGATTTACAGTTTCTGAAAGGTCCCCGTTAATTTTGATTCTGGCAGACGGTGATTCATATAGTGATCTTATACATCTGATTATATTACTGTTAAATCCAAATTTGTTTAAGGTTAAATAAAGATATTGCCAACTAACAGAATCAAATGCTTTTTCAGCATCAAGACTAACTGCTATAGATTCTATGTTTTTCATTTGATGAATAAGGTGAAGAGCACATCTAATATTGTCATGAGCCTGTCTATTACGTACAAAACCAGATTGGTCAGTGTCTGTCAGTTCTGGAACCAATACCTCGAGCCTCTTTGCTAATATTGTGGCAAATATACGATAATCAATATTTAAAACGGATATTGGACGATACGAGCCACATTGTGTTTTATCTTTACCAGGTTTATAGTGCTACCAGTTATTAAACTCCACTGTTGTTTCACTTTTGAAATGAGATCAAATATTTTGTTAGTGCTTTGTTTTGTTTTTTTGTTTTTTTCTGCAGACAAATGAATTACAGATTATTTTAATTAAACTGCTTCTTGCCAAATTTTGGTTGTGTGATATTGTTCAATTTATAAAAGAACCAAGTATTTTGTCACTTAGACCAACATCACAACAGCGGCAACAATAACAACAACAGCAACAATAACGACAACAATAACAACAACAACAGGTGAGATCAAAGAGGTCCACTGCTGCCTTGTTCAAAAGTGATTTAGCCTGCATGGCTAACTCTGGCACATTTACATGTTTTACTGACACATGTAGATTAATGTGCACTGTCCCATATTTAATAAATAAACATAAACATAAAAACACTCAGTGTTTGAGTCAGGTAGCCATTAAAGCAGCCAACCACTCGGCTGCCGTGGACACAGCGTCACTTGTCATTCAAACACCTCTTCTCCCCTCACTAAGCCAAGTTACTGCAACTTCTGTATCTCTGACCACTAGCTTTACAAATTGACCCCCCTGACCACCATTTACTCCCTCAAACACCAGTTTCATTCTAGGTAAGGCAATCTAAATTAATCTTATCCTACATAGTATATTACATACATAATACCTCAACTTTCTAAGCAAGTTACAAAGTTTTTGTTTTAAATTTGTTTTTTGCTGGAAGGAATCTTTATTAAACTAAGTACTTTCTCTGTGAATAAAGCTTAAACTATGAGACCGTTCTGAAGTATGGTTTTACCTTTATTTTTATGCTAGTTCAAGCTTCACGCAAGTAACGTGCCACCTGATTGATTTTTATTTGGTTTGTGTCTTTAACTGTACTTACGTAGGTACGGCGCCACCACTGATCTCAAAATCCACTGTACTGCAGCATTCATTCTTAACTATTTGATTCTAATTATCTCATTAAATAGGACAGCATTGTCTCCACTTAAACTACCTCCTGCTTCTGAAGAGTGTGGACGCTATCCTTGCTTGCTCCTGCTGTTTTCGCTTTTTAATCAGTTTACCTCCTCCAACAACGGATAATGTGCCTATTTTTGATAATGTGTCTATTTTTGATTTCCTTTTAAGCAAATGAATACTTTTAAACATTTTTACATTTTTTAACAAATCATCTGATGAGCCAACACGTCGGGGAGAAGAAACCAAGGGAATTCTATCTGTGAGCGCTGTCAGAACTATCAACAAGAAATTTATGAGCTGCGAGCACGGATATTTGCTTTAGAAACTGAAAAAGGACTTCATCAGACGCTACCAGTGACTTCCAGTGGTGAGCAACCTACAGTTACTTCCAGAGAAGAGGGTGGAAATTCTTTCAACTTAAACCTGAGTGATACTGTGTCTTTTCCGAAACTTGGTACAGACCAAAATGCTAAGCCAGCGCAGCGAGTGGTAAAAGACAATGCTAATATCGTTATATCACCCACAATAAAGCTAACAAACAGATTCACCACTGTCACAGACTGATGTTAACGTACAAACGGATAATGTACTGTCATCACAAAACAAGAACAATAAAGTTGGCAAAAGAGTGCAGGCATACCGGGAATCTGTGCCAAACGTCAAGGTCAGAGATACGTTGCTGCTAGGAGACGGGGCTATCAGTGGTGTGAGTCACAGAAGAATCCTAACATGCTGCTACCCGACCTACACTGTTTCTGAGATAACAAAACTCCTGCCAAAAGTTTTGTCAACACACCAAGGGGTCAAACAGCTGATTGTGCATGTGGGTGCAGTGGACATCAGAATGGAACAGAGTGAAGTCTTGAAAAGGGATTTCACAAAATTATTCGAGGAGCTTAATAAAGTGGAGGTTAAGACATTTATCAGTGGACCTCTTCCCAACATAGACCTAAGGAACAGGAACAAATTTACCCGACTGTTTCAGCTGAACACGTGGCTGCTGAATGTGTGCGCGGCCAGAGGATTGCACTACATTGAGAACTTTGATCTTTTTTGGAAACGGAAGGACCTGTTTGAGGGAAATGGCCCACACCTAAGCAGAGGTGGAGTGAGAGTGTTGACGGAAAACCTCCTCCACGCTCTGAGGCACCGGCCTGGACAGGGTCCTGTGCATCCAGTGAGAGAAAAGAGAAATGGGAGAAGCATCCCTACTGCACCAAACAGAGAACCAGCCAACAAGTCAGCACCATTGACAGCACCACCACTGCCACAACCACAACCACTTCCCCCTCCCCCCAGACAACAACTCAGCAGCATCACCACCTCCCGCTCCCCCAGAGAACAAGTCAGCAGAACCACCTCCCCCTCCCCCAGAGAACAAAACAAGTCAGCAGAACCACCTCCCCCTCCCCCAGAGAACAAGTCAGCAGAACCACCTCCCCCTTCCCCAGAGACAGAACCACCTCCCCCTCCCCCAGAGAACAAGTCAGCATCACCACCTTCCCCTCTCCCAGAGAATAA